GGTAAATAAAGTACCCTCTGGTAATGACTGTTACATAGCTATTGAAAATGACCATAGAAATAGTGAGTTTTACCCTAATTAAAAAAGGTGATTTTCCATGGTTGTGTTAGTTTAAGAGGGTATAAGAAGTGGTATACCCTCCGGTAATCAAACGTGGCTAGGTGGAAAATCCATCATTTAGTAACAAATTTAGTTCGTTTATTTTCCCAGCTATAAACCTACAAATCGCTTAGTTCATGAAAAGTTCGGGGATTTTCCATTGCTATGTTTGATAACACCAGAAGGTATACCTCATTTTCAACCCCCAAATGGTTGAAGTCTCAGACGTACAGTACCCTTTACCCCCATCAGCCTAGTGTGTGTTTTTTTGGTTTATAGATTCCCTCAGCTCCACTAGATGTGGAAAATGGCTACATGTTTTCATATTGTTCCAACCTTTTTGTGGGTTTCTTGCCACTCAAATTCATGGCATTTCATGGCTTCAGCGGCTTCGTCTCCATCGTTAAGTTGTTCGCCTCATTTCTTCAGTACCACAACAGCCACTTCGGTTTCCCTCTGGTAATTTGTTACACAGCTATTGAAAATGACCATAGAAATAGTGGATTTACCCATTGAACATGGTGGATCTTTCCATAGTTATGTAAACGTTTACGAGAGGGTAAATCCTCGATCGGAACTTGGTCCTATCATCTCCCCAACGACCCGACTTTTCTGAGTACCCGACAGGTCCATCTCAGCAATATCCTGAAAACCACTCAGCCAAAAATCCACATCGAAAATGAGCAAGGTGGCAACTTTTCGTGGATTTAAAGAAGAAACATGTTGAATTATAACAAATTGGATTGAAGATCATTGAAGCCTCAAATTTTGCTGTTATGATTAGAAAATGGGGATTCAACATCAATTAGCCGACAAATATGACATTCAATAGATTGGTAAAAAAGGGGAAAATATCGAGGAAATCATTTTAGCCTGTGCACATAAAATGGGGATGTTTCCTGCGTAGAGTTTCCCTTCAGGAGAAAGGCTGGGAAATTTCAGGGGATCACCACGCTGGATTAACAGAAAATATAGGGATTTTGTTGGGATTGATATGGAATCATAGTGGTTTTAACCATCAAAACTTCTGCGATTTCATGGATTTTTTCATGGTACAAATAACAGACCCCATCACTATCTGGGTGTGTCTGAAACTGCCGTTTTTGCCGTATACCCGCGGCCATTCTAATATAGGAAGGATAAAATCATAAACGATGGGATTTGTGGTATTTTCAGACCCACTTGGAGGTACTTTCCACTACGGTCACTACGGCCCATCATGAAAGGAAAGGGGTGGGATGAACTAATGTTTGGAAGCCAGTGGTTGATTGGGACCCTTACCAAAATGGTTGGTAAGCGGATAGAAGCGATTTGAACGGTTGTAAGGCTGTATGTATAATTCATGTTCATATATATATATTATTATATTATATTATATTATATTATATTATAATATAATATATTATATTATATATACACACAAGAAACATATGTATATAATGAATAATATATATATATATATAATTATATAATGATAAACAGCCTCGCATTATTCTGCTCCTTTTACTGCTAAGCAAAAAGACAGACATGACGTTCCGACAATACGCTGCATTGATTCATAGGGAGGTCAGGGAGAACGCTGATGATTCCAATTTAAGGGCTGACAAATTGGCACCATAAATCCCCCCTAGTAGGAAAACATGTCTTCTGACAGTTCGGGCTACCAAAAAAGACTAGGTGCATGATTTAATGTCATGAGAATGGAAAAACAAAACAACAAAAACAGCACCCATCACGCGAAAAACAAGAGTTGTCCATCAGTTTCCGCACTGAATTGCCAAAAATTGAAACAACCCTGATTTTTGAACAAACCAAACATAACTTTCATGTAAGTATATGGCCGCTATAGCTTAGATCATATATGTTCAGTCTTCCGACTATGATCGGATTCCTGATTCATGGTTGGTCGTCTACCCCATGTGTGGGCAAAACCCCGACCGACCTGTGCTTTCAGGAAAGCCCTACTTGGTGGTTCATGCCACTTAGCAAGTAGGTTGTAACCGTGGGATTACCGTGGGTAATCCATAGGGTTAGTGCAGTTATAACTGAGGTCATGAGCCACTTGTTAATCCATCGTATCAGTTATATCATCCCATAAACTGGCCATGGGAAAATTCCATCATATCCATTCTATTAATAATCCAGTAATGAACCGTTACAGTATCAACCAGTGTTAACCAATTATATCCAATCATGCATATATATATATATAGTTATATATATATATATACCCGTAAATTGGATGTAGTTCAACCATGTTTTGGTAGCTTCTTGGGCAAACCCTACTTGGTGATATATATTTTTTGGGGATTACAAGGACTGTCCCAACTTTTCTTAGGATCACCATGGCGCTCACACCACCAACATGGCTGATGGGTTGGGTCATGGTCATCTACCCATAGCGGATAGGAGGCCTATTTTTTTTGGGGATAGCAATAGGCCTCCTGGAAAATCGACACAACATATCCCATAGCGGGATTATCCGGTCATCAACCCATAGCAATGGAAAATCCTTCGAACATCTCCTAAGGATCTCCCAGCCCAAGGTAGATCGGTTCCTGTGAGAAGCCGCCACCTGAGTAAGGCAAACATCCATGGATTTTCATGGGAATTTACCCTCTGGTGATCTAACTGAGCAATGGAAAATTACCATGTTATTTATAGGTAAATCCTCATAAATCATCATAAATCCTCTATAAATTGGCAAGTTGCCATAGCAAAGTGTTGAATATCCAGACGGTCTTTCACACAAGAAAGAATTGAGTTGGACATCAAGCACGTTGAAAATGTCGGCAAAATATATCAAAATATGGGTTTGTCTGAAAATAGGGTATATTCCCAATTATAGCCATTTAATAGGGATAATGATCGTTAACCATTGGGTTTAGGGGTACACTATTTTCAGACACACCCATATGGCAAAATTGAGTATGTCTTGACTGTCTTGACTTTTTGCTTTGATGATTTTGAATGTTTCTGAAAACAAAAACATTGAAACGTATTTTTCATAGGTCGGAACCCCCGGTAGCTGAATGTTGCATTCTAAATTGCTAGATCTGTGTTTTCTTGACAAAAGATGGCCACGTTGATTGAACGCAGCTCCAACCCAAGGCTTGTACGGACGCCATGTGGCACTGTGAGGACACCATGGCGTCACGAAGGGTCGAGCTGGTTCTGGTTCTACTCCCTTGCGAGGTACCCGGTGGGAAGTGTATTGGTGACTTGTTCCAGGCTCGGCACAAAAACATGAAAAACCTACAGATTGATCAAGAAATCTGGCCAAAATTTGTGATGTGGCTGCAAAGTCTCCTCAAATTGACCGTGATGTTCGGAAAGGCGTGGCCTAATTACTTTCGATTTTGAGAGATCAGCAGATGGGTCAATCAACGCAGCGTGCCAGGAAGGCTTCTTGAAGATTGTTTTGTTGCTCAACGAGCCATCTGCAGCAATCTCAATCCTCTGCAATATCGGCCGGGGATCCACATTTGGAATGGTGGTTCCGAACCCTACCAGCAGTAGACTTCTTGGAACCGCAAAACACAGGGAAAAAAAAGATTGGTTGCTGTGAAACTAGGCTACCCTATTCCATCCAATGGGGCCTGAAATGGGGAAAACTTATGGTCCTATGAGTCCCATGTGATGACCATAACTAGTTATGGTCAATCCTCCGTGTTTCCTCAAAGAAGTTCCGTTCGGAGCCACGTTGGGATGATCATTCCGAATAGGCTTAGGAAAGCTGAAAACGTAAAAAGTAAAAAGCAATCCAAAGCACCACCCAGAATTGGGGGCGAACTCTGCGACAGTTTAATTTTCTACCCAACTCCAGTCCTAATCAAGGAACGCACAGGAATATGAAGGCATCTTCGGCCTTCAAAAGCCTCTTTGCACTCACAAGAATAGTGGATGTGGAACCCGCAATGCGCCATTTCAATCAAGAAGCCCGTCTTCCATTCCCCATGCAAAAGGGGAGGTTTCGAAGATTTTTGACAAAAAAACATATCCATCAACATCAACCATTCACCAGAGCTTTACCCACTTTATGTGCACAATCAACTGAAATGAATCGCACAAAAACAGCTGAGTGTCACAGCAGAATTTTCCACCGCATCTCGTAAAGGCTCTATGTACACTTGGGGATGTCATCTGAAGCCATCTTTTCCTATCTATCGCCTGTAAGAAATGACATCTCCATGAGAGTGAGACAAAAAATTTGGGAGAAGAGCCGAAGGTAACTTGTAACTTCCCGTCTATGATTTCTATATTTATCGTCAACTGTCCTTAAATGGTACCCTTGTGTTTCCATCCCTAAAGTGAAATTGTTATAGACTATTATATAAGAGGTAATTGTCCCCATATGTTTGTGGTTTTTGTTGTTTTACCATTGACGTATACCCATATAATCATATCAGTTCTATATAAAGTATGTCCCTCTCAAAGTGGTAAAATCCCAACCTTTGGAAACAGATTTTGTATTCGTGGGTGAGCTTTGATCCACGATAGTGAGCACTTTTCAGATTCGGCCCCGTTGTCTTTCAACACATCAGCTTAAGGAACTATGGTTCTGATTTACGCTTTGAACAAATTTATGACTGGTTGAATGAGCTATATATATTATGCAATACAGTAATGAAGTTCAGCACTTCATTATGTATCGTTGCAATGCATTCTCAGTTAAAACTGAATTTCAACAACGGAATTGCAAATGGCCTTGCTTGAATCCCAATTTTTATCGCTTAATACTTCATTCCTACAATGTGGGCCCCCCAGTGATGTTTGTTGGCTTATAAACCCCATTAACTATAGTACTATAGTTATAAGTACCATAAACCATAGTTATTGGAGTTATAAACCAACTTAGCTATCTAGGGGGCCCCACATTGTACTCTTGTTGCATTCTTTTTGTCAAGTTGATTTGCTTCGTCGGCCAATTCTCCCCCGGCTCATCTACCGCCCGAGGCGGGCGCTTTTTTTGCCGGCCGTCTCCGAAGATCCCTTGGCTTCGTTGGGTGGGTGGGCCACCTTCACACGACGGATGCCACGGTAGTACCTGCCCCAGCAGAGGTCTAACTTAGGTGCTGACTCGACAGCAATGGGGCAACGAACCACGATCTTAACGGATACTATGGGATATTGTGGGATATTGTTACCCTCCGGTAATTTGTTACATAGCTATTGAAAATGGTGATTTATAGTGGATTTACCCATTAAAAATGGTGATTTTCCATAGCTATGTTAGTTTACCAGAGGGTAGATATTATGGGATAGAATAGGATATTGTTGGATATAATGGAATAGTTAATGACTTACCAGATGAAAGATGTGGATGTCTTAAAGCCCCAAATCCCGACCGTTGCACTTAGAACTCAGTTTACCACTGGTAATCATAATGTTGAGCCAGACCCAACTGTCAAAAACAAAAGAACTATATATAATGTGGTAAACCCAATAAGAAACCTGCAATTTTGAAGGGTTCATACCACCCGTTTCTGCTGATATTGTGGATGGTTTCTGACATTTGGCTTTACCACATTACTGGGTCCCCAAAATCCTCACGCCTTAGACGCTGCATGGCATTTCAAAGCCAGAACAGTTCTGTGCTTCGCTGGGGTCCTCAATCATGCACCTTGAAGGAATTCTTCAGTGCTCCGCCCGATGTTTGGTGCAGGAACCAACTTGGTTGATTAGTTATCGTAAACGGTACTGGTAGTATACCTACCCCTCTGAAAAATATGAGTTCGTCAGTTGGGATGATGAAATTCCCAATGTATGGAAAAATAAAAAAATTGTCCGAACCACCAACCAGGGAGAATTCATCAGATGGATTGTAATTTTCAATTCGTTTTATCAACTATCTTTATAGAAAACCCTGTTTCACCCTCTGGTTATGTAACAGTTTCCTACGGCAAATGGCCCATTTATTTATAGATGATTTATGATGATTTGCCTATTTAAAAAGAATGTGATGTTCGGTAGCTACGTTAAATTAGCTTAGGGTAAATATCCCAATAAAATTAGGGTGCTTCTCTCCCCACTATTGGTTGAGTTCTAAAAACTCTTTTCAGTGCTCATATCAGTCATATCCAACCTTTGCTATTTATGAAATCCCCCTCTGGTATAATGAACCTGGCAATCGTTGCCACCGGGCCCTTCTCTGGTACTCTCTGAAAATTTGCGAGCTACAGAAGCCATGGGCCATTTAGTTCGATGATTTACTATTCTCCAAAATGGATAAAAAAATCCATGTCGCAAACGGCAATTCAAATTACCAAAAGCCAACACCCATTATCCCATGATATACCCTCTGGTAAATTAACATAGCTATTGAAAATGGCCATAGAAATAGTGGATTTTCCCATTAAAAAAATGGTGTTTTCCCATAGTTTATAGTGGATTTTCCATAGAAATAGTGGATTTTCCTATTGAAAATGGTGATTTTCCATAGTTTTGTAAACGTTTACCAGAGGGTATCCCCATTGAATCACTTTGTTTCCACCATCTTCCGCATGGCTTCACCCTGGCTTCACCCCCCCCGGTTAAGGTCACTCTTGGAAGGGACACAATGTGGGGCCATTGAGGCTGAAATACCTGGCGGGCGAATTTCAGGCGAAATTCTAAAAAAATGCTAGCTGGGATACTAGTTGATATGGTGATTTAATGGTTAACAATGGTGAATAATGGGATGACAATTGGGATTTACCCTGCAGTAAACGTTTACATAACTATGGAAAATCACCATGCTATTAATGGGAAACTCCACTATTTCGACTGGGCCATGTTCAATAGCTATGTTAGTTTACCAGAGGGTACCCTGCAGTAAACTAAAATGGCTATGGAAAATTGCCATTTAGTTCGTTGATTTACCTATCCAAATGGTGATTTTCCAGTTCGCTATGTCAAATTACCAGAGGGTAGGAGATGTGTTTTACATCCCATCATCGGAAAGACATTTCATATAGATTAGTAGATCTAATCTCATCCCATTAGTCATGAAAAAATACTCATTGATAGATATTACTAGACAAAATATCCCTTTATCCCATCCCATTGAACTGTACTGACTCCCATATTGGATAGTAAAAGTCATAGAATCAAAACTGAGATGACCCTTTAAAATTAAAAAACAAATTGATGATATATTAAAAATGATTCATGATTCATATGATGTTCTTCGAGCTAGCGTTGCCTGTGCATGCCATCACGAAAGAGTCAAGGCTGTTGTTTCTGTGAACCAATGTGTGCCACCTGAGATGGAATCTATAACCTTTTGTGGCAGCAAGGCTACTAAGCAACAAGCATTATCCAACCATCACTCGCTTCCACATCCTGCAGTCAGATGGGGATCTACACCATATCCAGTTGGAGCACCCCACGGCAAAATCCCTGGGGATTTATGGGTGCTCCGAAAAAACACCATGGATCACGATGGTATAAATCATAGGCATTGATCCATCCTCTATGATGAAAAAAAAGCATGTGTTTGATAGGTCCTGAAACGCGTTTCGCGTTTCAGGTGCACAGGGACCTCCATTGCCTGCAATCCATGGCGCCAAGAGATTCCTCTACATCCATCTTGGCAAAGGCCCTGGAGAGAGCATCAAAACAGCCCTATTTGACTCCTCTGGAGCCTCCACCTCCTCATGACTGGCAACGCAGAAGAAATGGTGTGCAATGTCCCGACTTGAAAAGTTGCCTGACTTTGCAAGAGGCTCCACAGTTCTGGATGCTTTTGGACTCTGCGACTCAACTTGATGACATGTCCACTGCACAAATCGAGGCTGGGAGTTCCATTGCCTCCAGCATAGAACTGCTCTTGTGGACTCAATCGTTTCAACTCCTCAATCCATGGCGCCTCAACTGTCTTGCGAACCTCTCCCTGGTGTCGAGAAATTTTGGGATGTTCTCTGAACGGAAAAGTGGAAATGTGGTAATTTTTTCCCAAGTCACCAGCAGTCACCATCCCAGGTTTATCTCATTCGCAGAAATTACATAAGGGAAAAAGCGGATGGTGCAAGCACCAAAACAGCTGCGGAGTCAGCAATGCCAATGACACCTCCCAAAAGACACCATCTTCGAATAAAGAGGAAGGATCGTTGCGCCAAACATTTGCGCAGACTAAAAATGAGTAAAAATATGGTTCATCAAAGTGGAAGACTTGCCCAATTCATGGATGTTTTGATGATGAAAATGATGACAAGGGGCGATTTTGGGGTATCAATAATCATTCAAACATGTCATAGCTAATCCAGTCCCAAAAATCACCACAGCTTCAATTCCCAGGTTATGAACTCTGTTTTTTGATCGAACTTGGACCAGGTCCCCAGTTGAAAAGAAGTTGCCATTGGGATATCGTTGATATCTGGCTGAATTTTATGAATTCACTCACCTGTAGAGGATGATTCCCACTCACCATCATTCCAATGAGGGCTCTTCGAGCTGGAAAATTTTGTTCCATGAAACTTCTGGGCCAAGTCCGGAAAATCATCTGCAAATCTGTGGGAGGCGAATCAAGGGCTTTTCCTAGGAATATTGGGATTTTATCCTCTGCCAATGGTGGATTTTCCATGGGATTTTCGATATGAATGTCTATTTGCTGAAGGGCAATGCCTATCAAACGTCTTCACTTGCCAGATACTGACTGGATGATGATTCATATGGGGTTTATATGGAGTGGCAGAGAGAATTTCTACACCCTGAAAATTCAGATTGTCAAATAGCCAATTTGCGACTCAATTTATACGCCTTTTTTGGTCGCCAAACTCATGTCTTGCTGGTTGTCTCCCCGGAATTGCAGGAGAACCGGTAGTATCACTATATAAATATACATGATAAAAAGACTTGTGTCCTATACAATAGAATTATAAAGATTGGATAGTCATTGCAAGTAAGATGTAATACCTATTGTCCAAGCTAATTTTTTAACACCAAGACCAGTTCCCCGATCCGGTACCATATTTCACACCGTCCCGTGCCCCGTGACAACGCAGATGTGACCCCCCAAAGAATGGTTCGGCTTCTAAAAAACTTATTAAACACCAACAACCACGGACAACCACAACTATAAGGGTTTAACCATCCATTATTGGGGAGTCATTTCTGATGTGGCTGGTCAGGCTGGTATCCCCATGACCATCCCCAATATATCCCATGCACCTGTAGTAGAACAGGAGAAATTCTTCGAAGGAAATCGACTGACTCCGATCTCGGTCTGCTTCTGCCCAGAACCTCTGCAGCTAGGAGGGAGGGGTTGCAACTTTTGAATTCACGACTTTCATACAAAAACAATCACGTTTGGTGGATTATTATGAGTGCTGTGGACTTTGATCCCAGCATTGTTGCCTCAAATCTTCACGACTTCTTGTTGATTCAATTCTAGCACTTAGAACACTGATGTTCAACTTCCCACTTATAGTCATTATAGATTAAATTCACCATGTATCTTCCCACTTCTGGTCAAACTTTCACTGGTCTAACGGTCTAACCCACACAACCCACCGAAATCGGTGCAAAATCTCCACCGACGAGTGGCTGGTTCATTCGCGCCACTGGCAGCTCCAAGTTGGCAGGGACCTACCGAAAATTCCAAGGTGGGATGTATCTAAAACATGAATTTGAAGAGGGAAAAACAACAGCAACGACGACGACGACGACCACAACAACAACAACAACAACATCATCATTACCATCATCATAATAAGAATGATGATAGTAATAAGTAAGTTTGTATATATATATAATGGTCTTCATAATCGTCGAAATCATCAGCAGCATCAGCAGCAGCAGCAGCAGCAGCAGCAGCCGCAGCGGCGGCGGCGGCCGAGCCGGCAGAAGCAGCCGATTTGGGGGTGCCTATGGCGGGATAAGCCCATGATTTTTGAAAACGTTGTTCCACAGTGTGATGACAATCATGACAAGCATGACAATCATGGAGACAGTGCTAAGGCTCATGATGGTGGTGATGATGCTGGTGTTGACAATGATGATCATGATGATGGTATTGGTGATGATCAAAATGATAGCCATCATCATCGAAGGTATTGCCAGCAACTGCAGCCAATCATCAAAGGTATCCGAAAATCGGCCCCATCACTGGTGCTTCTTTTTGTAGAGTAGAACGCTTGTGATCTTCAGGACACCTAACCGGCAACGAGAGTGATGGTCTGTATATGTACATTGGTGTATACCGCCATGGAACAATCATGACGCTCAGCCTTTGTCCACCAACAACACCAACAAACCAGTGAAGTGAGATCGTTGGAGGGCGCCACCATTTATTCACCATGCCTTCATTGCTTACACCACCCCGTATCGTTTGCGGTTTACCCTCTGGTAATTTCTGTTGCTATTGAAAATCACCATGTTTAATAGGTAAATAAACTATAAATTGGCCAGTTTCAATAGCTATGTCAAATTACCAGAGGGTACATGGATGCTTCATATTCACCAAGTTTCTTGGTTCAATCCCCTGGAAGTCACACATCGCCCTCCGATCGAGGACTGTTTTACTACTACTGATTTTTGCTAACCGTGGTCATTAGACCATGACTTTGTATTCAAACCCATGGTGACTTGGGGATCCCATATTTTAAGCAACCTCCATATATCATATAAATCCATATAATTATCTGTGTTGTTCCTTTATTACCGAGGTGAAGAAACGATACGGAAACGAAACACGGCTCGGTGAAACACCGTTTCACCGGCCACTAGCTCCCCGATCTCCCCGATCTGCCCGATCTGCCCGATCTGCCTTGATCAGCACGCTGAGAAGTTTTTGAAACTCTCCGTACTCGATCATACCGCTGTGATCCTAGTTCCCGAACGACATCACGACATGAATCCGGATGAATCCAAAGATGTCAACCGATGTCAACCCCCCAAAACTGAACAAGCCAAACGAATCCCGGTTCTAGGGGGTTGACGATTGAAATGTTTGAAACCACCAACTGGATCCAACTGGGTGTTTTTCTTCGGTGCCGTTTTTTGATTGTAACAACCATGTTGCCCCGAAACACTGGGGAGCCAACAAAACCATCGGAAACTAGACAAGTTGGGGGCCCATCAACGATTGGCCAGAAATGATAGCTGTCTCATCGTTATTCCTTGTAACCTGAGTTGGGTGTCCCCGAAGTTGTCTGCAATGATATGAATTAAACGATTGGGGGTGGTAAACATCCCACTATTTATAGGGTTTCAACCATGAAACGTGGTGCAGAATTTCTTCCATCCATCGGATGCTCATGGTTTATTTACCATCTCCTCTGGACATTTGCCACAGCGAGATTCGTAGATATATATGCTGCTTTTGTAAAAATTGTTGGTTGGAAAATTTCATAAAGAAACTAACAGGTTTTGAGAGTACAATGTAAACAATAGTGTTCTGTATGTATATGTATAGAATATCGCTAGCTTTACTGACAGTGTTTCTTCCTCGTCGATGCCATGCCCAGATCCCTCCGCCTCATCAAAGAGGTCAAATTTCTTTTTGTACTGCTCCACCTGTCTTTTAAACATGTTGATATAATCAACACTCATAGGCATTAGCGATAATGAGACAATAAGGGGAAGTTTGTTCGACACGATACATCATCAACTTGATATCTGTCTTTCTATTCACTATTTATGCTAAATTATGGCGCCAAATTAGGATATAACCAGTAATGACGGGATAATACTGGCGTTGTTTTATGGGATACATAAATATGTCACTAGAACTTGATATGATATTTGATATGCGTTTGTGTCTTTTTTTTAATGGTGGAATTACACCCGAAGATGTGTTTGGTGAAACTCCAGCGATCTCAGGGGAAATGGCTCCAGTATAGTGAGAGTTGTGGGTTCTTTCAAGGTATGGAAAAAGCCTGCAGAGCCACTGGTTTAGAATCTCAGTTTTCCCATCAAAGTACCCTCTGGTAATTTAACATAGCTATGGAAAATCACCATTTTTAATGGGAAATCTCACTATTTCGACTGGGCCATTTTCAATAGCAAACTGTTAGTTTTCCCATCAAAGTATAGCCATTTTGGGAGCATCCACGTGTATCCACCATTAGAAAAACCTCGAGGTTAGTCAGTCTATCACTGGCCAGCGACCTTGAGCTCCCACATACAGTAGAAATCCCGTTGTTTGTGCTGATTCTGTAGTTGTATCCATTTTTTTGCTGGTTGACATCCTGCATTTCGCCAGTTTTACCAGCTAAATCCCAATTTTCATCGGTTTACTTATGTGAACTTTATCTTTCTGCTGTGGAATGCTTCATTTTTGCTGGTTACCCTCCAGTAAACAAACATAGATATGGAGCACCAACTGTTTCAGAACATGTTCCTTGGGTTTCACCATAGCTTTTCCATGTCTTGGTTTTCTGGAGGGTCAACGAAACTCGAACACCCCCTACGCTTCCTGCCGTACGCCACTGTCGTACCTCGATCACCGGCAGGTCATACTTCCGCGCCTCATGCGACGCGTTGGAGATGGTATGACGACTGACTTCTTTTAGGATATGCGGTATAATCGGATTCAAATGCAAACATGTACCGTCTCTACTATGTGCAGGATATATACAATATATAATGTATGTTATGTATGCATGTTATATATGTACGTTATTGATGTATGTTGTGTATATATAAATATATACACATGCATATTATATATGTATATCATGTATGTATCTTGTATATACATATGCGCTCACATATTTACAAGTTTATTCATATTGATATGTTCATGTGGTCTACATGGCATCAATAAAAAATGTGACTTCGATACAGTTCTCAACGTGGTAAATCCACGAATAAACCTCTAATTTTGGCTGGTATATACAGCCCATTTATATCTATTTATAGCATGTTATAGCAATATTGGGGATGGTTGAGTATTGGGTCATTGGGTAAACACCACATGAGTTCTCTTTCGAAGCACCTTCTCTGAAACTGCAAAACGTCATAAAAACGCCAAACGGGTGACACCGGTGACACCTTGATACCTAGCTTCAGCGTCGCAGAAACTAGACAGACCCATGAGTTTTTCCCACTCTTTGGCCATAAATGGGGGTATCCAGTTGGCAATAGACAAAACCAGTATCTTGTTACCATCTGGTTATGACTAACATAGCCATGGAAAATCCCCCAAATAAATGGAGGGTTTAATGAGAAAATCATCTGTTTCTATGGGCCATTTTCCATGGCTATGTTAAATAACCAGAGGGTATCTTGTTAATTATCACCTAATTATCACCATTTCTGTTGTTTGAAGTATGTCAAACATTCAGCAAGTAAAATATGTAAAATCCCTAATTAAAAAAGGGCGCTTTTCCATCCCACTAATCCAATCCCCCAATTTATGGGTCCCAGTTTTTGTGTCTGGATCCAAGATACTCCACCTCTTCTTCCATTGGAGTGTATGGAAAAGTGGGGGGAAGAGATTAATGATTACCCTCCGGTAGTCAAACGTGGCTAGCTGGGAAATCCCCAATCGAGATGATCTAAATGGGTAATTTCCATTGCCATGTTTACCGAGGGGTACTCTTCTTAATCAATCAACCATGCTTTTACAAAATCCAAAGTTGACATTAGATTCATCATTAGATGCTTTTCAGTAGGGGTTGAGGTACCCCCAAAATCAGGTATTGGGTTTATCACATGGTTGTTGCTCATTCCGGGAATACCTTGTGTACCATTGGGAGAAACAAGGCATTGGGAATACCTATTATCCCGCATCAGGCATTGAGGGGTTGTCTGACAATAGGGCAAGCCCAAGTTTATAGTTGATCATCATGTTTCCACTTAAAATGACCAGAACTTGGAAGTATACCCGATTGTCAGACTTTACCAACTATTATATCAAGTTAGTATATGTTATATCCAAATATTCACATGATTATCCCATTGGAATACCATTCTTGCTGGTAAAAACCGCGTTTTCTTGCTGGTGAAAAATCCCCAGTCTCGTTTGGTGGATCAATCCCCTGAGTTTTTTTGGGATCTGTGTCCATATATTTTTCACCAAGAATCCAAGGTTTCACCCGTTTTTGTGGCTCATACCCTCTGGTTATGTCAAACATAGCTATTGAAAATACCCCATAGAAATAGTTGATTTACCTATTCAAAATGGTGATTTTCTATAGTTATGTTAACGTTTACCAGAGGAAAATTTGACGTTGAAATCCTATGTTTCTTGTGTTTTTTATCCCCAGGGTTTGGTGATGAAAAATCCCAAAATCCCCAAACCTTTGATGCCGCACCAGGGTGCCGGCCGGGTGCCCGCACCAGTTGCCGCACTTCCATCTGTGCCGAGGTCAACAGCATGTTCTCCATGAAGCCGTGTCTGGGATGGCCAGAAAAAAAACACAACCGGAAAATGGAGATGTTGATACCAGATTAATGAAAATCTATTAATACATAATATTATGTTATAGGTGGGTGTGTATATATATATATATGGGTAAATTCTAATATGTCACTAACCTGAATCTTGCGGCCGTGTTGTTGTTGTTGCACGTTGATTTCCTAGCCGCCTCCCTGATGCGAAGAGGCCCCCTTGTTCCATGACTCCCTGTGTTAGGGAGAAACGTCCCTGGTGAAACTAACCTGAATTCTTGGGCCATTTGGGGATGATTTCCCTATAAAAACCATGATTCCAGTGATATACAGTATATAATTTACCCAGATATGTTTGATATTGCATGATTTCCTACAATAAATCAGTGTGCCATGATATCCATGCGCGTCTCTACGTGTAAATGTGCATGTTTCTATGAATGTAGAACTGCATACACAGCACAAGACACATTCAGAACGGATCTGGGAGAATCATACTTATTCCAAATCAGAAAAAATGAGGTGGCTGCCCTTACCAACTATCATTTCTGGTGAGGCAGTGAGGTCACAACAATCAGTTGCCCAGAAGATGTTTTCTTTTTCAACTGTCATTTGGTTGCGAAACTCTTGGTAGCTCCTTGGCTCCCCATTTCTTGGGTGGAATATGATACAACCATAGACAATTGCATCGTTCCCTCCATTCACCACTGGATAGTTGACAACGGTTCAGTGCTGTGATTACTATGACCCATCATGGATAATTGAATCTATTAATATGACTCATATGACTATTATCTACCAAGCACAATGGATAATTATGGAGCATTCACCTCTATGGATCATTGTCCATCATCAACCCATCACCCGGTGTTACCAACGATGGGTCGTGCCGTTGGGAACCCCAACATATTGATAGATGGTTCAAAATTCCTTCATATTGAAGAAAAATGGGGGAAATTTATTGGTCCTATACCATCTCATTACTAGTTTTTATTGGCTAAATATTGTTCAACATGTTAATAATTAATATTAGATGGTTCATATTGAACAAAAATACTACTAATGGTTGTAAATTCTGTGGTCCCATAGGCTTTTAGAAAAATGACCCAATACGCATCTGTGCCTGGAATACCAAAACGCAAACTCCAAGAAGGACACCGATTTCGTGCCGTTGCCATCCTCAGGTGACACCACTGGATTTTGATCGCTGTGAACATCCTAAAAGAATGGAGTTTACCAAGAAAAGTTCGGAATTTACACACCATGTGTATTTTATATTTTTATCAACCAAAGTTCGGTAGAATGCGATCTGAACCAAGCAAAAGAATGGATATTACAGGCTGGCTACTTGGTGAACTGGCTGCTTGCACATGTGGCTAAGAACCATGGGCAGGGTAATGACTGGGAATGGGAACTTCCTCACTATGGTCATCCGCCAAATAGGCTCAACCAAGTACGGATTTTGGGTTCTGAACGAAATCTGGTCGGTGGTTTCTGAAAAGCATCGTCGTCAGTTCGGATCATCATGCCGTGTTTAAGCATAGGAAAAACACCTAGAAATAAGAATGAAACCACGGAGCCGTAAACAATCTGGATCCACCCCCGAACGGATTCAAATCCAATGGATTGGTGGGAACATAAAAAAAAGGAAACCCATCGGATTGTCCCATGAAGATCATGGTTGTTTTTTTTCTGTAGATTTTCCCTTGAACCAATGCATTGACACATGGTTTTCCTATGGTTTTCCTATGGTGTTCCTATGGTTTTCCCCATGAATCACCATTTTCCCTACGGATCGCCAGTTGCCAAGGCGCGGCATCTCGAAAGCTGCGGTGCAAGAGCCTCGTTTTGTTTGCCGCGAGCCGCGAGATTTTGCGAAGCCAACTGTTGGGATATTTGGGAAGCAACAAAATGAGGATATTTGGAGATATGTTGTAGGGATTTGTAGGGTATATCGGTATATCAATTAGAACAATGGGGATAGAACTGATATGACTATGCTATGACCTACAAAAAATTGATTTAAAGAACATGTGATATCAATCCAGACACAATGAGGATATAACAGGATACACTGCTAAGAATGTCATACGGGGATGCTGAATCGGTCAAAACTTAAGATCCAGGGGACCACAACTGAAGTGGCAATTTGTCACCCAGCAAAGATGGCCACGGTTTGTCATGCGCAAAATAAGGCACCCAACAACCTGGCTGGGAACCGAATGTCAACTTCGGATCAATGTCAACCCTACCCTGGTGAATTGAGAATGGGGTTCTGCAGCATCCAAGAGTACCCTCTGGTAAACATACAAAAAGCTATTGAAAATTGCCCATAGAAATCGTTGATTTACCCATGAAAAATGGTGATTTCATGTGATTTCCCATAGTTTTGTCAACGTTTACCAGGCCGGGTAAGGCAAAATGTGCTACTCAAAAATGGTACCCCCAATGGGCTCCAGTCCCGGGATGCTCCATAACTCACTCCAAGGTTATGGACCCATCTGGTAGCTCGGCCGTGCTCACACAACCTGCATCCGTTTGAAGATGTCGGGATTCCCGGGATGTCGGGCGATTCCCAAGCCACAGGAAATGGGATGGAAATGGGATGGAAATGGGATGGAAATGGGATGGAAATGGGATGGAAATGGGATGGAAATGGGATGGAAATGGGATGGAAATGGGATGTTAGAGGTCACCTATTGGTAAAACTAAAGATGAAATGCTAGCAACCACGTCGAAGATACATATCTAATGTGGGTAAACTAATGCCATAAACCATCCTGGTAGAAACCATTCCCAGTCATGGGTGGTTTATTACATAAGTTGGAAGTCTAAGGTGCTACGGTACTTCGGTGCTTGCCCAGAACTGTCCCAGTCTAGAGTCTAGATCTTGAGAATTCATCGTGTCTAGCAACCAGTACCGAAACCCTCTAATACTGGTTGGTGGTTGACTTACCATCTTGAAAAATATGAAAGTCAGTTGGCATGATGAATTCCCAATATACAGAAAACAAAAAATCCAAACCACCTACCAGAATAAATGTTTTCAAAATAAACATGTCATGGATAACATAGATAGATGGAGAGACAAATGAACACAAATCGACAGCTAGACAATCCTTACCTTGTCAAGGCTCCAACCAGCTCTCTATAGCTGTCTATCTGTCTTTTTGTCTACAGCTATCATTTCTAGTTGGATAGTTTGAGAAACAACTCAAGAAATGATAGCTATCCAACTATACGTGATAGTTGTTTAAACTATCCAATGTCATCAAATCATAGTTTAATTATCTTAGTTTTTCAATGATGAATCCGTCTGTCTGTTAAACAGCCTAAGTTAGATAGACAGCTATCATTTTTAATTTACTTTGCGGCTGCAGAGAAGTCTCACCAAGTCTCATCCACTGCGAGGTTCTGAAAACAGGTCTAAGGTGAAGCCAAAAATCGCATGGAAAATAATGGAAATGTAAGGGTAGAATCAGCAATCTAATAGGAATATAATGGAAATACAATGGAATAGTATATATAATATTGAACCGTTAGTTTCTGAATCGGTTTTGGATGATGGTTTATCGGTTTATCAATCCCAGGTAGGAACAGATTGAAACCGGCATGGATCGTGATATGACTCCGAGGACTCCCCATATGTGAAAATCCCAATTGGCTGGTCTATAAACATGGAAACATGATCCACTTGTAACTGGCAGAGTCTCACAAGGATTATCGTTGTGTCATTGAACAATTCAGTTTGTCCACAGAGAAACTACCCCAAAATCCAATGCTTCCAAACCTGATGTTCCCGATTTTCAAAGGGCGCGTCATATTTTAGGGGTGGATCTCGCATTTTTGGACCCCATCAGATCCATGAAAGAAATCGTCCTGGCATCATGATGCTTGGTTTAAAAGGCCCCACGTTTGCACCTTCCATCCCCATAAAAAACCCATAATGAAGCTGGTCCAACTCCTCTTTGTACCAAGTTGGTTGATCCAAAAAAAATCGGATTAAAATGAAGATGTTTGGTTGATCCAAAAAAATACGGATTAAAATTATAGGATGTATCCATCAAATTTGCGATTTCACCAACAACAAATTGGCATATCGTTGGTATAAACAGGTCAACCCTGGATGGTGATCACAAGTCCCCATGGAAATTGGTTTTTCCCGTTGGCAAACGAACTGTTACAAACCAGCTACTCACCATGGTAAAATCCCCGTCGATCTCTCATTACATTCCCAATTGTATTCCCACTAAGTCCAAGTTATATGGTTTCTATTCCAATGTTGAGTGGCTACATACCCACTTTTCTTGGCTACTAATGGTTACTAGGTGGGAAAAACCTCAGAAAATAGATCCACTATATCTTCCTATTGGTGGTTCGGTGGTTCTATCCCACTATTGATGGTCAACTCCGAAGTTTCATGGCGCACCTACCAACTTGCAGATGACCTTGGCAAAGCCGTCGATGTTCACTTCCCCGTCCTCGGAGCCATGGAATTTGATATGTGTATATGCACCTATACACTATCTATACATAATATATATATAATGTGTACTGTATGTCTGTATGTGCATATATTTTTCCCACCCGGCTCACTGCTGCGATACGCTGCGGCCGATGAGACAGCAGATTATGTATTGAGCCAAAACTGGCTTTCCTTGAGCCAAAATGGCTACGGATGTGTATGTGAATATATATATATATATATACATATGTATATGTATATATATATATATACACTACTGTACAATGTGTATCTATTGGTATGCACATGTGTGATAGCATAATCTAAAATGTGTGTATGTATAATACTCAACAAGAAATCAGCAAGAAAATCGATCCAACAGGTCCGACATCAACAATGTCATTTATACAAATTTGGATGAGCAAAAGAAATGGACATATCATACTGAGATATATTGGGTTTTTGGATCGCATCAATGCAACAAGAAAAGCACTGCTACCCACACTGACTATATAACTACCCTCTGGTAATTTAACATAGCTATTGAAAATGACCATAGAAATAGTGGATTTTCCCATTAAAAATGGTGCATCTTTCCATTGCTATGTTAAATTACCAGAGGCTATGGTTTTTCAGGGCCAGCTGATCCCAACTTCTGCCAACTCCCAGCTTAAGGAGCTCCTGAAACACATCGAAGTCCTCTTCGACGATTTCGCCCTTCTTGTTGGTCCTCCGTTTCTGTCACTGGCCAAGTGACGAGATAGTTTCATTATGATTTCAATGGATTATTTTTTAAGGTAAAATCGAAAGGAAAAGAGGGTGAAATTACCCCCAATTTTCGTGGCTTTTCCACTGAACTTTCCCTTGAACCGAGTCACCAAGTGCTTCTTTTCAGACGTCTTGAGAACATCATGATGCCAAGCATCACAGACCTGGCTTTGTCCAGGAAATAGGTATACTCCAATTCATCGCAATTCGATCCTGGAAAATCAGCTGAAAAAAAAAAGTACTACAAATTCCCTAAGAAAACTCTTGGGGTGTCCACATGGATTTTTTCCTTACTATGAAATCAGGTTAGGCATGGTTAAACCATCGGCATGGTGTTCCCAGATTCGGAGTCCTCTTCCCTTTGGTTGCCATTGGATGATCCAACCTGGGGACCCATGACGTGAGACGTGAGAACCATGAGATTACGGAAATATCCATAGGAATATGAACACCAATGGAAATATATGGAAATATTTTTAGATATCTTCTAATTTCTGTGCTCATTGAAATCCTTGTTTCCTATTGCTTCATTCTTCCTCTACTCTTTTTTGTCTTCGTCTTCTCCTTCTTCTTCTTCTTCTTCTTCTTCATCACCATTCATCCTCAACATCTTGCACTCACATATCATCCACAAGCCGCGATGCCCAAAGCCCTACGGCAGGTGACGTGTTACAAATCTCTGCAAAGACTTCGTAGGCTTGCTTCCTGGCGCAGTCTCTCAACATAGGGTGGATGGTTGCGAAATCCTGCACCAGTTGATAGATGGAAAACATCCCATTATCTATAGGGTTTCAACCATCCTTTTGGTGATGCAGGATTTCGCAACCATCCACAATAGCTTTGTGGTGTCTTGTGGGTTCATGATGACCACATTGCTCTTTGAAATAGTGGACATCACACACTGATACCATATACACGTTTCTATTAGACTTGTAGTAAAGCTCACATGTATCTTGGGTACCGCGTTCATTGCAAGAACCAATGCAAACGTGTGCTAGGTATATCATGGGGGGGTCGTGATATATATATATATATACATACATACATATATATATATATACATATGTGTGTACATATATACTTATACATACATACATACATACATACATACATACATACATATGTACAAATGTACATAAATACATATATGCATACATATATATATATACATACATACATACATACATACATACATATGTACAAATGTACATAAATACATATATGCATACATATATATATACATATACATATATACATATATACATATATACATATATGCATATATGCATATATGCATATATGCATATATACATATATACATATATACACATATATACATATATACATATATACATATATACACATATATACATATATACATATATACATATATACATATATATATACGTATATACATATATATATACATATATACATATATATATATATATGCATTTATACATATGTATATATATATGTACATATATATATATATACATATATACATGTATATATATATATGCATTTATACATATGTATATATATATGTACAAATATACATATATGCATGTATACATATGTACATGTATACATATACATGTATCTGTATATATATATATGTATGTATATGTATATTAATGCACACGGATATGCATTTGCCCATCAATTCTCATGGTTTAAGTAGTTTGGAAGGCGACTTCCTCGATGGTCAAGTCGTCTTCGCTCGCTTTCTCAATGGTAAACCTCCATTGCTCAATACCTTGTTCATATACGAAATTTATCCAAATTGCTATTTTATTCAAACCACCAGTTTTGATTGGTTACATTCTCAAGAAATATCCCATGTTCTTTGCTTACCAGCGTTATAATCCCTATCTTCCGAGGTGAAAAGCCCCATTTTTCACCCGCTTCAACATGGCTCTGTCACATAGAGTAACCCTAAATCCATGGCTTACCCAGTAATCAAACATGGCATTTTCGAAAATCCACCGGCAATAGTTCGATGACTTTCACAGCTATAAACCTCCAATTTTCATAGGGATTTCCCAGGCACGTGGCTGATTGCTGGAGGGCTTTTTTTTGGCGGTTTCCCCGGGCCGCAGTGGCTGGTCATTTTGGGGTCTCCCATGGAAAATCCCCATTTTAAATGGGAAAATCCACTATAAATGGTCATTTTCAATAGCTATGTTAAATTACCAGAGGGTATCCCAAAAAACCAAAAACATCGGAGACCGCCGCAACATGCCAAGGGCTGCAGAGTATCCAGCGGGATCCTGCTTGGACAAAAGATCGTGGATTTATCTCAGATTTATGGCAATTGAAATTCAATGGGTAGAATATGGTAGAATTTTGAATGGCTTACAAACCATCATTGTTTCATGAAAAAATGACGGCCGAATTTTAAAAAGCCATCGGCCTCGTTTTTTTTTTAATAGGGGAACAATGGAGATTTAACCGACAAAGACTCACTGGCCCCATTCCATGGGATAAATGGGTGGTATCGACCATCAAAAAATAGGTGGCTTGTTATTGCTTTACCAACACCAACTAACATGGATTGAAAAGTTTGGCCATTTGGAGATATATATATATAATTCCCCTTGCTACCCATCAATGGTGACATCGTAAGGTCGTGATAATTTGTCCAGAGACGGAAAAAGTGAGGTAGTTCACCTGCAAAAAAAGGTGTTTATGTTTTTCCATGCAACAAAAATTGTACATAGTTTCACCCCAAAAGAATTGGGGATGCAACCAAGAACACTGGAACGTCGTCGCCAGGTCCAAAAAAAAAGTTAGGCACCACAGGGAGCAGTATTTAAGACATCTGGTCGTTGTATGTGATGGCAATCGAACCCTGCTTACGGGAAAAGTTGCAAGAAACCATGTTTTTACGCTGCAAGATTGGGGTGTCCTGTAAAACCTGCTTCAAAAATCCTCAAACCAATTGTGGGATGCAAGGGAGAATCCAGGGACAAAAAAATGTTTAGAGATTATGTTTTTTTAACCAATGATATGGTAAAATCCTTTTTTAATTACCAATGATATGGTAAAATCATGTAAAATCCCTATGTTTGCTTCTTGAAATCCCAATCCTGTGATATTCAGACGGTCAAATCTCCAGTTTTGCTCCTTGAAATCCACAAAAAATCACAACCGGACATCTCCCCCAATTTTTAATGCTCTGACCGCCTGAGCTGTTTGGCCAAATGGGACACACGGTCCGGCATCTTCCTTGGTGGTCCACAGCCAAAAATTTGTCGCTTTCGCTCACAAGAAAAATGGTGACCTTTTCTGAACAATCCCAGTCCCAACAGGACATTGCTCCAGGAAAATCGGGGGTGAGCCACCGAGAAGACTTTTGTTTGCTGATTCTCCGAAGGTTTCTGTTCAGAAACATTCTCCGAAAAATCTGCAGGAAACCCGAAAAATATTTGGGTTTTTTTCAAACACAGTTTCTTGTACAGAAATTATTCAACCCTTCAATCGATCCATTGAGATTCACAAGTTGACATTGCCACATTAGCGTAATGCTTTATTGTCCTTGTTCTGAAGCTCTCTAGCAATACTTTGAAATTGGGTGGTACCGTTGCTTCTAAGCTTAGTTACGCTGCGTCCCGCTTGCTGGCGAGCTCTATTGGTATTCCTTTTTTTGAGCCATACCGGCCATACCCTTTTCCATGTTCTCATGACACTACACAGATAAACTGCTGATCAGCGAAGGCTGGATGATCATTTCTGAATGCACGGGGGTCAAATATTCTCATTCTTTAGCAGTTGTAGGTTACAAGGTCTACCAGTTAAATCTTCACCTGATTTGATTGGATATCTCCCTGTTATTGAAGATTCTTTGTTTTTTCAATAATACCTCCACACATTGGTTGCTTTTTGAATGCCCAATATCTGAGGGTTGGATGCCCCGATTGTTGCTTTGACTTCCGCTATTGTTTATTTGCCATGTTCCTTTCTGTAAATGCCACATTTCTGTCAGTGATTCCTGCATGTTGTTGCTTCCACGAACGCCATTGTTGAGGAAGTTCCTCATGTGGGTTCGCTCAAACATTCCCCGTTTTCAATAACTTGCCCATTGCCAGTTGGATGTGGGTGACTAGTGGGCTGTAAATGGAAAGCTGAACTTGCCCATGTTTGTCCTTTTTTAACCTCCGTTCTCCTTTGTAAACTCCTTTTTTCCTGGTTCAAGCCACCCAACCCCCAATTCATGGCCGAGTTTCTCCTCTTCATACTGAGGCACCTGCACAAGTTTCACAAGGCCAGTGGGATCAGTCAAAAATGCGTCGTCCGTCAATTTATGGTCATTTATTCAAAATTTATTCATGGAGAACAGGATGTTAGAACATTTTTTTGAACACTAAAAACTCGGGTTCCCATTATTTTTGGACAAAATTATATTAGATACAACTATATATAGTTAATGGGAATTATAATGGTTTATAAACCAACCTATAAATGGGGGGGCCCATCCTGTAGTATCTATGGGATTTAATGGGATTTAACGGGATCACCGATGTTAACTGTTTGGGTTTCTTTCCATATTTCTTCAAGCCGAAAGGCTCAGGCCTAGGCATTGCGCTGTCAGGGTCAAACAACAAGTGGAGACGACTATCCGTTCCCCAAAAAGAAACACCCACCGGTGTTAGCCGCCTAGAAAACTTGGGTATGTATTGGAACTATTCATTTTGTGGTCTGATTCAAGGAAAATTACTGTCATCGGGATTCAACCCTCAAAAAAACCCTCTCAATCACCTTTGGAGGGTGAAATCAAGCCGTTCGCCAAAAGAATCGCGACCAAAGGAATATCTTGAGATATCTTGGGTCTTGGAAGAATTCGTCCTTTCCACTTGTTTCATCGTAGTATTCCGCCCATATCATACTAGTATGGAAATCTTCGTCCTGAAATAGCACCCAGCAACAAAAATTCTGCCCCCTATCTTAGTACACTTATTTTGATGGATCAATATACCCCCAACTTTCCGTTTCTTTTTCTTGCTTAAATCCCATGTTTGTGAAAAATGCAAAAAAAAATCCTCATTTCTGTTGCCTCAATCCGAAAATCCCACTGGCGCCTCAGGCACATGGATGGTCAAACCCATCAGCACGGTCTCAGTGGTGACCTTATTGGCCTTCGGTGCCGTCACGTGATGCCACTGTTGGTTGCTTCCAACGCCCCAGATAATTACAGGGATCAATTTACCCCCCTCGCTGTCATTTACCTATGCGTTCAAACAACCATGACTATGGTTGACTATTATCTGGGGGTTCAGGAAGAAATAACTATAGTTTGATGGGTTTGGAAACCAACTAGTTATGTTGAGCAGTTTGTTTTCGGCCCGATAATAATGAATACATCTACCATAGATAAATCATAGTTAAGTCAGTGAGCTCAACCAACTTAGCTATCCATTGATGTTTAAGAGCCAACAAATGTAGGGAATCTAAGCAGCAAAAATGAGGATATAAGTAATTCATCCAACCGAAATAAGGGTTTTATAGGTGATTTATGATCCGTAAGTTGGTTTGTTTTCATCCCATGATGTCCATAGACCAGGTTGCGAAATCCTGCACCAGGCAGGGTAACTATATATTAGGAGCTATGAAACACTGCAAGTATTGGGATCACAGTTTCATGTTTGTCTTGGCCATGGGGATGAGTTGGTATCTGTGGGACCATATGGGAGGGAATCCATGAC